AATGATCAAGGATTTCTGAATGAGGGCTGAATGGTATATCTGGTCAAATCTGATTGGGGTTTTTTAACATCGAGATTATCACTTGCATGTTTTGTGTTTCCAAGGAGCTCTTAAATCCTGGACTGGAGGACAGTACCATATGCACTTGCTATTAGAGATGTTTAAGAGTATCATGTCTTTGGAGAGCTTCTTCTTAAAGCTGTAGCAAGGCAGGATGGTAGATTATAAAGCCTTTCAAAAAGGGCACAAATAAAAGCTGTCCAAGATTTATTACAGCATACTCAATGCCCGTGATCCATTAATTTCAGTAATTTTAATGTCTTTAGTTTCTTGCAATGACAAATGCCAATATATTGGTTTCCTTTATTGACCTAAACTGTCAGATCAGCAGTGTCACTCAAACGTGTCTGTTGTATTTATTTTCTTGACAGCCTGCACCAGCTATGAAGAGCAATTAGGGATTATTTGGTGTATTTCTCTCATGTTACACTTGTCTGATTACAGTATTTATCTTCCTGTGGGAAGTGAGACTTTGTCAAAAAAGAACATTTCCTAGGAAACAACTATTTCCCTGTGCTGCTGAGGAATGTAGCTAACAAATGTGGAAAAATTTAGCTAGTAGGGTGGGCATTTTTCAAGTGTAAAGAGTGGAGATCGACTTTTTGATCCAATTTGGTAGGACTGCACTTTTCATGTGTTCTTTCTATTGCCTCTCTTGAATGTGGAAAGAGAGGAAATAATACATGTAGGAATGTGTATTTTCATCTGGACAGTTCTAGGTTATCCTTGTTGCCCTAATCCAGTTCACCTGGCTGGGGGCTCCTGTGATACCCTGATGGAACCTGGCCACAGATGACTTCTAAAAGCTCCACAGTGATGCAGAAGATGGGACGTTCCACTTGCTTTCAGATTTCAGTCTTGGAGGCTTCAGAAGACAGAGAAGACTCTCCTTACTATATGCTTTGTTCATATGGTTAATCAGTTTCTGTTCTAAAAAAAAATATTTAACTTTTTTTTTTTTCTTAATTTGATGCCTCTCACAGTTATTTTAGAGCTGTATAGTCTTCTCTATATCTTCTGCTGTGATACATCTCTGGCATTGCAATCAAATAATTTCTCAGTCTTTTGTGAAACAAGATTGGACTATTGGAATAATTGATTAATAGATGGTTTCTTGAACCCCTAAATAATGGTTTAGTTCTTCTCAGTGGTTTTTGATTGGTTTGGTTGCTTTGGGCTTTTAAAATTAATCTACTACCCCACTTTTTGACCACCATGATCAGGAGAGTTCTGGCTATGCTCTGGTGCTGAATATGTATTTGTAAATAAAGACTAGCAGGACTGAAAGTTTGATAATGAGTTTTCTTTGAACTTGAGCATAGACCTGTCTGTGAATGGGCTTGATGCCTGATGACATTTCTGAAAGAAAAATAGCTTTGCTGTTAGTGTGGGCTGACCGGGAGTAGGGCTGAGTCCATTTTCAGAATATGTAGGAGGAAGGTGTGTGGCCTTGGTGCACATCAGTGCTTTGATTTCAGGCAACACAGAGAGGTGCAGTGTTAGTGGGGTGAAGGGCTGGCAGCTGGATAAGAAGGTTTGGCGAGTGCAGTCTGGGGGGAGCCATGCATTCACGATGCCTCCACGTTTAGGGAAACCGCTTTTGAGGACGCTGAGCTTCCTTAATGTGAGATTGCTCATGGGCCTTGCTGATCTTATCTTCTATTGCTTCCTAGTAGTATATTGGTTGCTGCTTTTCCATTCTGACCTGGTTGCTTTTCCAGCCTCTGTGAGCTTCAAACTGCTTTAATGCAAGAGTTTTTGAAGGCAGTGATGCAGATCAGCTTGCAGTGTTGAATAGGAAAGGATGTAGCTGTTGGCTACTAACCCAGGATACAGGTGGGAGACCCATTACCCCTCTCCTTCTCAGTGACATCAGTTCTTTGAGCTCATGGTCTTTGTTTTGATCAGTTATCTCAACTGTCTCTTCAGTGCCTTCCAAAGCAGCAGAATGTGGTGGAGGGTGAGTGTGTAGATGAGGTGGGATTCAGTTGTCTGAAATCCCCAAGTTATCTGTGTGACCTTTCCTGGATATAACTCTTGGTTTAACAACTACTAGTTAGTTGATTTTAATGTTTAAATAAAATATGCAATAAAAAACTGTTGCTCCTCAGTTGAGACTACGATAAATTAATACATAGAAAAACTTCTAGGAGCAGCTGAAAAGAAATTTTAACTTAAATCAACTTGCTATTCTAGTTTTTTTAAATACCAACTTAATAGAAACATTAAGAAGTATGATAGTGTTACATCTTTTTTATAAATCTTATGATTTATTGTCTTTTTAGCTAGATTTAAGAACCTTGAAGGTTAGTAGTATTTTGTGTTTAAATACTGACACCTGATAATTTGGAAATAGTGTAGTAAAATTCCATATAGAAAAGTATAGTTTTTGCTTAAAACTTAAGGTGTTTAAGAGACATGATTTTAAAATTATCTTAATTTCTGAGATTTGAGAGTGGTTTAGTTTCTAAAATGAAAATATTTTAGTTACCTGTTGAAAACTTCATTTTCTTGAAATGTTAGAAGGATAGTAGCAGTTACTCCCTGATAGAGTTTTAACTCTTGAACTTCCTGGGGGGGGTGTTCGGTGATAATATTGTTATTCAGATGTGTTGAAGTTGTTTTTAGATTGCCAATTAACTGTTTTTAGTCAAATCAGGTTGGTTAAATGTTTTGGTCAAGAAGTTTCTCTGGTGGTGCAGTAGTGTTAAAGTCCTAATTACATGTATAATTTGCAAATAAATCTCAGTTCAATGTTAGTATAATAAACTAATGTTAAGCTTCTATTTAGACTAGTATCAGCACTTGCAAATGCAGAAGTATTGGTAGAGTATGAAGGAGGATGAATTAAGCCCACCTCACCAGAAGATTACAGTTAGAGATAACAGTTTGGAAACATGCTGATATCTGAGTTATACTGCTACTGAGTTCAATGGGAAAAATATTTAGGCTTTCAGGAAGCTGAGTTAGGAAGAAAATCTGTGGTTCGAAAACCACTGTTAACTTGTATGTGGGCAAAAGAATTGTAGTGCTTCTAAAATAGGTTATAATTCTTTATTCTGTAGCAAGTCTGATTTGATACACTGTTAAATGTCTGAAATGTTCTCCACAATTTTTCTGTATTTTTTCCCCTCTGATACAGATTGAGCCAAATATGCATTGAAATTTGGACATAATCACAACAGGCAGTTTTTCAGGCCGCTCTGCAGGATACTAGACCTTGGTGGGAGCAGTTCAGCTGTTCTGAAAATCAGTCTCAAGGGTGCAGGGCTAAAGAGCACTTTGAAAATATAGACCATGAAGAATTTAATTCTGTAATAGTAATATCAACTTTCTGGATAATTGCTGTCGTTAGAGATAAAATATTTGGGATTCTTGGCAGACTTTCTAGTAAGGAGAGCAACAGAATTACTTTCAGCAGTGTGCTAATGGCAAGTCAGACTGAAAAATGTTTGAAGGGAAAAATATGCAAATAGGGCATTCCACTAAAAATATGCACGAAAGTTGAAAAATTCAGAAGAAAACACATGTATGGCAAAAGCTGATTAGAAGAAGGAAAGGGAATAAATTATTCTTTTCTCCAGACAATTTGTATTAAAGTTTAAGTAATGTTGTGTCGGTGTATATTCCTATCCTGTGTTGCAATTTCACCTTACTTTATATCTGTGCTTTGCATTTTAAAAGTATTTAGTGTCTGTTTATGCAACAAAACCACTGCAAACACAATGATTGTGGCAAAGGCTCTCAGCAGGAATGGCCACACCCATGGTCTGACAAGCTCAGCCAGTGGAACGTCACCTACATCCAGGATTTCAACCTCACAGAACTAGCAGCAAGAACCAGAATAGTTGTATCTTCGATTGCTTTTCTAAATACTTAAAAGTAGCATGTTACCACTTTGTGTATAGATCTGACATTTGCAAAGTGTCACTTGCATACTTATTGCCTACTTTACTTTATTCTTACCTTCAAAATGTGTAATGTTTGTACGGCATCCCCATGACTCTTCTTGCCAATCTTGATAACAGACCACAGAGCTGAAGTACGTGAGTGGCAAAAGGATTGAAGTGACAACTTCAATCACAGCTGGAAATATACAAGTCTCTTTTTTAAATGTTCTAATATGATCTGGTTTTAATAGTAGAATAAGAAGATGTTTTAATAAAATTGCGTTTGATCTTGTTATTTACCAAAAAAAAGAAATAAGCTGTATCCTTAAAATGTTTTTTTTTTCACGAGGCGTGTTTAATTTATTCATTCTCAGAGGATATTTAAGTTTTAGAAAGTCTTAGCAACTTGAATTTTTTCAAAGTGTTGAAGACGAAATGTTGATAAGGCACAACCATTCTATTGCAATTTTAGTGAAGCATTTGAAAGATCAGCCGTCATGTAAATCTACATCCATTTATCAACTACAGCTTATTTCATTTGTAGATCTTCAGATATGGGCATAACATGTGAAACTTGTTCTGACTGCTGCTGCTTTTTTCTCCCCAACCCTCCTACCTGCCCCAGTCCTGGACCCGTTTAGTTGAGGATATTCCTGGGTTGTACAGCTTTTGCCTTTTCTTGTTTATTTGGTTTTGTTTGTTTGGGGGGATTTTTTTTTTGGGGGACGGGTGGTGGGTTAATTGGTCTCTGTTTAAGAAGACATGATAATCATGATATCTACCTCACCAAAATATATAGTTTCTTTGGAAGAAATGGGATTTTTGTGTAGATGCAGGCAGCTGGATGATGCAGCTAAAGGGGTTAAGTGGAGCTGTAGCTGCCCTTGTTTGCAATTTTATTTGCATGTTGAAAACACTTACTACTTAGCTGTGTTTGGGGATTTTTTTTTGTGTTTAAGTGCTGTTTTCAAGTAAAATTTTAATAGTCAGATCCTGTATTTGTCTCTTCTTTTCTCCCTCTTAAAACGTCTCTTATAAATCTCTTTGCAGCTGGGTCTCGGGCATCTTACAGCAGCCAGCACAGCCACCTTGGCTCCGAGTTAAGGGCACTGCAGTCTCCAGAACACCATATAGATCCTATTTACGAAGACAGAGTTTATCAGAAGCCCCCTATGAGGAGTCTCAGCCAGAGTCAGGGGGACCCTCTGCAACCAGCACACACAGGCACATATCGCACTAGTACAGGTAGGTGGATGTAACCTGCATGATTGTCTTTCTATCAGACATGTAACTTACTCTCTGCTACTAACTCTTCTTTTCTTCCTGATGTGCTTAACCAGATGTATTCTGTGCATGCCAGTCAGATAAATTACCTTTTGCAGATGGCACCTATCAATAGAACCCCAGATACGTGCACAAAAGGGGGAAATACTTAATGTTGTGCTACATGTACAGTAGGTTAAGCTAATTTGGAGAGGGAGCTAACTCATAAAGAGAGAGAAAATACTTCTGCTAATCTAGTGTATTGTCTTGGAGACAGATCTGTTGTCTCTGAAGAAATTGCTAGGATTTTTTTTTTGCTTACGAAGGTATTTTTTATGTTGCAGTTGGACTTCAAAGTTCCTGCTACATAAAGCTAAGTGATTGTTCACTTGCTTTCAAAGTAAATCATAAGTAAATTTTCTTCCTCTGTCCCACAGAGGTATGCTTTGGTGTAGGTACCCAGACATAAAATTGAACGATAACATAGGGAAAAGCTGTTAGCATCACTGGTTTATTCATAAATAATAATGATTGTCCCTGAAATGCATTGGTGTACAAGTCCTACTTGCAGAATGTCCTCTCAACCAAATGAAATACAGCTGTATGTTGGAACCCACAAATAGATCAAAAATCAACAGGGATATTTATGGTATTTAATGCACAAAATAATTAGAGTATATAAATGCTACAGCCAAAATAGCCTAAAGCAGATGTAGAAGAAACTTGCCTTAGGAATTGTAAGTATTTCTGGTGTTTCATGTTTGCTATGTTGATGAAAGAGGGAAGATTATGTCCATTTTCAGATCACTCCTATTTTCATCAAGGAAAAGTTAAGTCCACTTTTCAGAGCAAGATACTTTGCTTTCTTTTAAAATGATTTTTTTAAAACTTCTTTAAAAAGCCCATTTTTCCAAGGGAAAAGCTGCCAGTTTTTGCGTGTCCTACCGCCTTATGCAAGTTTGGGTGTTCAGAGTACATGAGGAAATCTTAAAAAGGAAATTTAGCCAGAGAATTATCTAGCAAAATACCTGTAATGGCTTTAGGCTTTTTTGAAGGGCACCGTTGCACCATTTCCCTCCTGTTAAAGAAACTATCACAGTCTCATGTTTTGTATGGAGTCACACAAAATCATGAGGAAAAATTACTATTCTTTGCATGAAAGGGAGAAAACCCTCTGCTTACATTAGTAAGCTGTGGAGGCAGTGGTAGTGATTGAAACCACTGTTTCTATTGAACTTTAAGCCTTCTGTTCCACCTGTGGCTGCCTCATATTGCCTATGTGATGCTCTCTTTCCCAGACATGGCCTGAAGAGGGTTTCTTGTTTTGCTTACAGAATATCCCTTTGGTTGTCTGTGTTGAAGTAGCAGGCTGTCCTGTGTCTGTACTGTTCACAGCACCTTGGTAAGGAAGGAAAGCTAGTCAACACAGATAACAATAACAGTGAATTAAACTGGGACACGAGATGTTAGTTGGTTACACGTGGAGATGGGTTTTCAAAACGAAAGAGAAAAAAATAAAAAAAACCCCACAGTCATATGGGTAGCAGAAACATGCCCTGTGAAGGTGAGTTTTGTTTTGCCACTTGGAATGTGGATTTGAGCGTTGCTTCAGGATCACTCTGAAGAAAGACCCCATCAGTCCAGCTTTGTGTTGGGTTGATCCTCCCTGCACCCCTATCATCAGGGTCACGGGAAATGAAAGCAGATGGATGTGTGCCAGTCTGATCTGATCACTCTGTTGCTCTGTTGGTAGCTGTCAGCTGCAGATGCTATCAGCCTTTCACACAGCAATGCTGAAGAGCTGTCAGTGCTCAGAGGAAATTCTGAGCTGGACTGGATCAGCTCTTGGACTCCTGCCTCTAGCGCAAATACCAATAGGAATATATCCTTTCTGATGGAGGCCATACAATTTTTTTCAAATTAACAGAAAGGAGGGAAAGGAGTTCAAGTTTGGTTTTTTTCCCTTTATTGGGTTTTATTAAGAGTTGATTTTCCTTTTTTTTTTTTTTTTTTTTTTTTTTTTTTTTTTTGTTTTTTTTTACATTTTAGGACTAGCTTCCTAGCTTTGGTGTAGGATATGAGGGATGTAGATTACTGTGTACACCATGAAGATACGTGCCAAGGATTCATGGCCTGTATATTCTGTGTGCATGAGTCATGGCAGAGTGGGGAGCTTTAAGACTTCAGAGCCCTCCTTCATACACCATAGTTCACACTCTTTGTGTATGACAAAAAATAGCTTTAATCATGAAAATGATGCATGCTTTTCCACATCTGACCAAAAGAAAAGTGAAGACAAACTTAAATATATTGTCCAAAGGATTCCTTTCTCTGCAGCTGACACTGCCCATGGGAAATAAAAATTAAGTTAGTTTTACTTGCAAGCCATTTAATTATTTTTTTTTAGTATGGTTTCCTTTTTGGTTGGTTTTGTTTTTTTTTTTTTTTACTTTTGTTGTACTTTGTGGGTTTCAGGGGATTTTTATGGGGTTTTTTTTTGGTTTGTTTGTTTGATTTTAAAGAACATTATTCCTGAATTTGAAAATTTCACTTATTTTGTAAAAGTAACCAAGAATGGTTACTTACTATAGACATCACCTCTTTCTATTTTATGAGCCCTTAAATACATATTACATTCAAGAATGTTTGCACAACTGAGGATAAAACCCTCTCAAGAATTTTTCATCTTCTAGGTGAATGACTATTCAGTAAGCAAAATTCCATAAGCTAAAATTTCTCTATGGGGTGAACTGAATCAAGTTTATTCTATATACTCATTGTTTTTTGGGTGATGTTTTGGTTCTTAACTTTAGTATTTTCTTTGTATTTCACTTGAGAATGAAATGCATGGTGATAGTTCTGCACTACATAACTGCAGAAGGTACAAAACATGTCTGAACATCTCCCCTAATAGCTTTAAAGAGGATGAATTCTTCATAGAATCACAGAAGGGTTTGTGTAGGAAGGGACCTTAAAGATCATCACATTCTGTCTTCTCTGTCACTGGTGAAGCCTTTCACTTGACCAGGTTGCTCAGGGCTCTGTCCAGCCTGGTCTTGAGCATTCCCAGGGATGGAGAGTCCACAGCTTCTGTGGGCAACCTGTTCCAGTGCCGCACCACCCTCACTGTAAAGAATTTCTTCTTCATATCTTATCTAAACTTATCCTCCTTTAGTTTAAGTCTATTCCCCATTGTCCTATCACTTAGTGCTCTTGTGAAAAGCCACTCTCCAGTTCTTGTAGGCCTTTTTCAGATACTGAAAGAGGCTCTAAAGTGTCCCTGGAGCCTTCTCTTCTCCAGGCTGGACAGCCCCAACTCTCTCAGTCTGTCCTCTCAGGAGAGGTGCTCCAGCCCTCTGATTATCTTGTTGGCCTCCTCTGGACTCACTCCAGCAGGTCCCTGTCCTTCCTCTGCTGGGATCCCAGAGCTGGATGCAGCACTGCAGATAGGGTCTCACCAGAGGACAGGAACAGAGTCTCCTCCCTGGTCTTCCTGGCCACATTGCTTTGGATGCAACCCAAGCCATGGCTGGATTTCTGGACTGCAAGCACAAATTGCCAGGTCATGTTGAGCTTTTCATCCACAAACACTCCCAGGTCTGTCTCCCCAGGTCTAGTCTTGTTCCATTCTCCAGCCAGCCTGTACCTGTGGCATAAATTATAACTGGGTGTGTTACTGTCATGCTGCCTAAACTAAAAATAATGTTTCAAATTTGACAGCAGTAGCTGTAAAAGCTCTTTTGGTTGTTAAGCTTTTACTGAACAATCCCTTTTGCTCTTCAAAGGGTAATGCCTTCTCTCATATAAAAAGTACCAGCCCAAACTTTTGCACTAAAAGCAGTATGTGTGAAATTTTCCTTTTGAAATGGGAAGCCTCAAAGGATGTGCTTGGAGGGAGTACTCAGACACAATACAAAAAGCAAATTAATTTATTTACTGAATAGCAATTTATAGCTTGTATTTGTAACTCAACTAAATAACACTAATAATTTTTGTTCTGGCGGGTTTGTTACTGATTTTCCTCATAAACCTAAAGGTTTTGAATTATTCATATAGTAGAGATAAGCTTATTTGATGGGATGTTTACATGAACACTGATGGAATTTGAAGAGGGCTGTTAATTAAGAGGGAGGAAGGGTTGCCTTTCAGCCAGAGTGGCACATGGAATCAATGATTGTTTGCTTATTTGCAGAATTAGAATTTTGAACTAGAGGTTTATTCTATAGTTATTGACATTTTATCCACGTCAAACACGAAACCAGGCAAAACAGGCAAAATCACACTATTTTGCAAGCCTGGGATTTCTGTAGCTGCCTTGAGGACAAAGCATCCTCACTGTTCTGGTTGTGGGCTGTCAGTGCTGTGCTGCAGCTCAGGAGCACAGCTTTGGCAGCTGTGGGGACTGTGTGAACAGTTGTCATCACTCTCCAGAGGCTGGCATCACTGTCTGGAAGCTCATGCTTCTATTGTGGTCCCTCAGAGAAACAGATGAGCCCTCTTCTGTAAAAAGGATGTAATTTCCAGATAAAGTTTGTAAAAGCCTTGAAAGAGAAAGAGTACCTCCCCAGTGGGAGGGAGGGATGAGAAATGGGAGAGCTGTGCTTGTTCTGAACTCTCTGCAAAGAGTAACTTTATCAGATGAATTAAGTGTAGCTGTGTAAGAGCATTGGTGTTGCTGGTGAACTGTGAGCATTTAGATCTTAAAACCTGCAGAGATCTTAAACCGTGCTTTAAGAGCACTCACTGGTTTCAGGGGCTGCAGGCAAATACTTTTGACCCCAACCTTACAAAAGTGACAAGGATGCACTGGAGGAGTGAACCTGTCCTCCTCAGCTCAGAAGGGTGTGTGCATCTTGCTGGCATCAGGACAACCCTGGCAGCCTGGATGAAAGTTTAGGGATGGTCTTGGGATGCACAGCCTGAGAATGGTGTCTGTCTCAGTCACCAAAGGGTCACCACGGGGAAGGTGTTGTGACACAGTT